ACAAAAAAAAAAAAGGTACATACCAATTCAATTCGTGAGTTGATTGCAATTAATGTATAAGTTGAAATTAATTAAAATACCAGCCGCTTTCAATTCTTCAGCTCTTTTTTTTTGTTCTTCGCTGAGTTCCGTCTGATATATAAAGAGTTCAGTAAGTATACAAATGTTACAAAAGAAATAAATAATTTACATTATTTATTCACCTTAGTTGAAGTCGCTGACAGTTTAATAAAAATGGAAATATATGTACATAACATAATATTTATGAAAAATCGATAACAAATTAGAGTACATACTAGGTTTAGGTGTTGACTAATAAAAAAAAAAAAAAGAAATCAAATTTATTGATTTAAGAACATGTATAATTAAAGCAAGAGAGAAAACTCACCGCCTTAGTTATTCGTTCTTGAGTTTTTACAGCTACTTCAAAAATTGATAGCAAGGGAGCCTTCGTGGTATAAAGTGTTTTTTGATCAGGATCTTCGATGTTCACACCAAAAGCTTCACCAATACATTGCACTTAGCAAATGCACACGAGTCTTTGTTAGAAATCGGGAGTATAACGATATTGACGCGCAGTTTTATAAGATTTCGAACCTGCTACTTCAACACCTTCAGTATCTTCTTCTTTAATCGTTCCGTCTTTAATGGACTGTTGCAGAAACTGCAAGATAGAGAATACGAGTCTTTTCTTTATATCTGCCATATTATTATGCCAGAGATCAAAGGATTTATGTATCTGCACTACTTAAATTTACTGATGATTACACATGACATATACTTCCAGGCTGAAATTTTAAATTTATCTTTATCATTATAATAAATAAAAAAATAAGAATACACTTACGTACGTACGTACGTGACTGATCCGAGCTGGCTAATACTTGTATGTACGTACGTACGTATCGATAATGATGACGACTTGACTCAGAACTTTCCAAAAAAAATTATCGCTATTAAAAATTTTACGATTCAAATTGTTATACGTACGTACGTACGTACATGTATTACATAGCTAATCGAAAAAGTTTAAATTTTTTATACAGTATAATAATGGATCGGTTGACAATGGTTAGACTTTTGAGTTTCGAACCGGTTTGATTTTTAAAGATCTGTTTTGACATATGAAAAATAAAATTGGGATGCTACATGGACTCAATTAAAGTCAGATTGGCAGAAAATCCCGATATAGTGACAGTCAAACCTCTATACAGCTATAGCCACATTTTTGGAAAATATCTTGTAACTATATAAAGGTGTTATCAGTCGGCCGACATGTCGCAGACTTATTGATCAAATTAATTGACGTACTTAAATTTTATAAGGAAATTTATAAAAAAAAACTTTTATTTATAAA